GAATGAGCCAACCCCAAATTATAATAGATCCCGATGAAGAGCTCTGTATAGTTTGTAGACTTTTGTTTTATAATATATCCGGTTTCTATTCCAATGTAAAAAAATTATATAGAGTGTGTCAGGAGGAAGGATATTCTTTTCGATTGCAGAATATCACAAAATGGATAAAATACCAATATAGTTACCAAATATATCAATAGCAATTACCATGTAAAACTAAGGTAAGTTTTTCAAAGATTAAGATTCTGAACAAAGTCCATTAATGCAATATATTGCTTCACACTCATGATCAAGATGATGGATGAGTATTTGTTTGTACTCTCCTAGTTATCAACGTGGCAACGCATTTTAAGGATGGACGCTCACTAACATCAAGAAATAACTTAGAAATCTGAATTGCGATTAAAGATATCTATGAGGACTCTTCTAACCCCCTTACATAGCCAAAATTATTAATGACTGATGGTGATGCTTCGTTTCAAGATGCATTTTCACGAGAAATGGAATAATATAATATCCCAATACGTGTTATTGACCTTTATAATTTTGAGAGCTTGGCTTTTATTAAAGCACTTAAGAAAAGAATAGCAATATTAACATATAAGGTCTAATATGCTATAGAGGGACGATTAACTGATGGGAAGCAATCAAGGGTATTTAAGAAAATCCTTAAAAAGTATATTGATTATCTGAATAACAGTAAGACTCGCCTTATTGGAATGTCATCAGCTTGTGCTATGACTTTAGAAGAAGTTGAGTCAAAGCCTTCTAAAAAATCTAAGCGTGCAATCGGAAAAGATGAGAAGATAAAATTACAAAAAGGTATAGTGGTTAGATATCTATTAAAAGCAGGCGAGTTAGAAGGAAATCATAGACGTAGAGCAACCGATCCATATTGAAGCTTGCGTGTCTTTAAGATAAAAAGGGTTGTTATTAGGAAAAATCCACCACAACCAGTCTTATATTATCTTGAGGATGAACCCATTGAATCAACTGCTCATCTGATAGGACAAAACCCTAAAATACCCTTTAAATATGAGGAACTTCAAGAAATTAAAGAGCCTGATAAAATCAAGTATCCGCCAGATAAATTTATGCAAAAATACTATCCTACTGGATTCGTCCATTATGTTCATACTTTTAGTAAATCAGTTCAGGCTAAGGATTATACCATGAAGCGTGGTGGTTAATGTCTTAGAAAGACTGGGCAAATAAATGGTCATAATGTATATCTTTAGACTTGTAAAAATAGTGTGCATTAATGGGAGTATCCATTAAAGTATATCATGAAAAAATTCAAATGGTGTCCTCTTTGCTACCATAGAAGCGGTGAATGCCAATGCTAATATATTTTTGAGGATCTGTTAGGGAAGAAATTCTTATTATATAGGCCGAATTTTTTGGATAGGATGTAACTCAATGGATATAACGAAGAGTTACGACTAGGATTCAAATTTTATGGCAAGCAACACTATAGTCTTAATTCAATATTTTATAGGAGAAGTCAGATAGATTTGGATGAACAGAAAATGCGTGATCAGAAGAAGCAAGATTTATGTAAAGAATAAGGTATATGCCTTATTAAAGTATCTCATACAGCAGATTTATATCCGTATATTAGATATACTCTAATTGAGAAAAGGTTCTTGAATAGTTCTTCCAGTTAGGTCAGAGAGTATTATTTTCTTGGCATTTTTCTGAGACCGCGGGTTCTGCAAATTTCATAATATATTTTTTAGTATATCATTAGTAAAAGATAGTTCAACATGAAAATAAAGAAACTTGAGCCAGTCGAAAGGCTTGTATATCATATTAATGAAATTAAAGACACTCAAAAATATAATGGCAATTCCAGTACATCTCAATGGCCTTTCATACTTGGAATCTTTGGCCATACTAATATGGGAAAAAGTAATAAGATTATCAATCTCATACTCAGAACTAAGCTTTATCAAATACTTAATGGGAAGAAAGGAGGAACACGCTATATTAAGTGTGATGATTTGCTACTCATCAGCTACCAACTCAAGGAGCCAAAATATATGTATCTCAAATCAGCATTTCAGATAATAGCAAATAGTCCAAAGCTATATCGTGAAGATATTACATTCTGGACTTTGAAGTCTGATAAAATCCCTAAGATAGATTCATTTTCTCTAAATAGAGATACAGGGGCTATATTCGAAGATATGTGTACTGACCCGAAAAAAGTGCAGGAGAAAATTATTCCTTATTTTATTGAAGAACGCCATTACAACATCAGTTCGATATATGTATTCCAGAGTTACTTTGACTGCCCAAAGATAATACGAAAAAATCTCACACATGTCTGCCTATTTAATGGGTTGTGCACTGCGAATGAGTTTAACAGAATTGTGCGTCAATATGCTAATAATTAGCGTAGTGTAATTAAGATTATTGATAAGGCATTATGTGAACATAAATTCATTATTTTTGATTTAACAGTACCCATATAAAATACATCTTGGTTGGGACCAAATTCTCACTAACGAGAAGAATTCGACTTCATAAATGCCAACTCCTTTTCCACTTTCAGCAGTTGTATCTTCAGATTTTTGATCTCATAGTGCATTTTCTTATTTGCAATAACTCGCTCTCTATAATCCTTTTCTATGTCTTCCATAAACTTCCCAAAAGTTCTCTTATTATAATCGACCAGGTGTTGGGATAGTACTTTAAGCTCATTCATAACCCGGTGATTATTTTCTTCTTCATAATCATGCTTTAGTACCTCTAGCCAAGTGCTATTTGTTTGGACTCTAATGTCAGTAACATATATAGTCAGTGATGTAAGGAATACATTATATTCTGGCCAGCTTCGTGGGTGTAATAATTTTTCCTAAACTATAGTTTTACATTTCTTCTTATTTAACAAATTCTCATAAACCTCTAATATGTGTCTCAAATAAGGTTCAATTCATTTAGACTTTTCTGAAAATAGATTTTAATGGAACAGGATCTTTAGAATGATGCAAGAGTCTCTCATACGCTCTCTTGACAAGACTTTTGGGTAGTCTATCAATAATATGCTTATAGTCAGAATGGAACATTATAATAGATATAGTTTTGCACAAAAAAGTTTGCACGTAAAATTTATCTATAGTGGTACTATTTTTACGCGCTTATATCGCAGGTTACGTCATATCTGGTAAGGGATCTATCAAATTATATGAATTTGATCCTTAACTAGTTGATGGTTTTATCATGTAATACAGATAGTAAATTTTTTATCAATTCGTTCTGTGTTTGCTTATCTTCCAATTTCACAATTCTGGCCTTAAGTTTAGTATTCTCAGCTCTAATTTTATCATTCTCAGCCTCAAGCTTGGCAGTATATTGTTTCAACGAATTGACAAATCTGGGATGATATATTTCAGATTGCATACTAGCGTAATGTAGTATAAGTATGTTAATATTCAAATGTAAAAAATCACGTGATATCCTGACCAATGGTCAGCAAGAAAAAAATCTATTATCTGGTACACGAATATATATTTGTGAAATAGACCACTAGGGCCAGTTTTATTATAATACAAAATAATAATAGTACATCTATAATCGAAGGCACTAAAGTTAAAGAATTATCTCATCTATAATTTCGCAATACTGGTCAGTGGTATCCCAAAATCTGGCACTCATTCTTACATTTTTAAAGTCCCTGTCATACCAAAAATGGACGACATTTAATCCCTTCTCTTGGAGCTTCTCAGGTGGCCAATACAGATTAGTTACAATATAATCTTCACAGGAAAAGTGTACGATCCAAATCTCTCGAGGATGAAGTTGCTCTTCATACTTAAATACTTGCTCAAAATTCCCATCTAATTTTGAAATTGAAGCTGTCGCTAACAGTTCGAGGAGAGCTTCCAAATAAAGACTATTAGGCTTTTTTATGGTCAGGTCGCAATAAAGATAATGATAGTCTCCGTCATCACAAACTTGTTCGAGGTGCCACTGGCCAGTGATCTCATATCCATGGATCTTCCTTAACTAATTCACTAGGACCCAGTACATCTCTGCATCGTATGTACTTTCTCTTGGAACTTTGATATAATGTTCGGAATTCACATACAAATGATTGAAACTTTTATATGAGCGGGAGGATCCTAGTGCTATTATACCTTAGTCGAAATCACGTACTGCAGTCTTTAAAATCTCCAAAATGTTTATAGATTTATCATCTCACAATGGGATATCTGTAGGAACATCTAAAACTTTGCTAATACTTCATTTTTTAGCGACAGAAGCAGATGAATCTGACTTTGGAGGAGCTGGCTTCTTTATTATCTCTTCTTGTAGGTTAGAAGTATCGGCTAAAGGTTTGCGACCTTTTTTTCCACTAATCTATATAAAAATAGACCCCCTCAGTAGTAAGTATCATCATTGGGGATAATGGAATAAAAAATAATGTTTTTAGAATAGCGACACCAGAAGTAACAACCATATGGTCAAAGGACCTGCCCAGAACACGAAATATTATTCACTATACTTTTATCAAAAGGAAGGTACATAACCGAATCCTCCTTCAGAAACAGTAGACTTTGTCAAAAAGTATCGCTAAATAATCTCACAACATCTAATAGAATGAATATGCTAAAGCACTGCAATAACCGAGAGCTTATATATCCCCAAGCGAAAGCTTCTTGTGCTTAACATACCATATCTAAAAAATGCGTGTTTGGGCCTGTGAAATGAAAAATGCATACCTTTTTATTTAGTAAGAGATTTCTAACAACTTCAAGGATCTCTTGTGAGACCATAGGATCATCACGAAAAATATATAATGTACTATAAAAAACCGTATGTGCCTCGTTTCTTTCAGTAGGTCCAAACATATTGGTCGACCAGGATATAAAATGCTGAAGAGACCATACTCCACACGGAAAAAACCAAAAGTATTCGATTTTGCCTTTTTCAGAGGCTCTTGATTTCTCTCTAAATATCTTAGCTTATTTTTCAAGCTTCATAGTAGGTCTCCGTTTCATATCATCCTTCATAAACTTTTTTTCGGTCATGTCTGGGAAGATCTAACCATCTATTTTCTCTTTACGAAGGATCTTGAAATCGTCCTCATTGAGATTTATGTTCAGGTTACGTAAGAAATTAATGAGGGTCTCGGTATCCCAGTTTTTGGCCAACGTGGAACAGTTTGAAAAAGTTGTAGAAGTAGACATATTTTACTAGCTTATTAGAAGTAGAAAACCCCCAAAAAATAGCCGTTAAGGCGCTTCGCAAGAAATACGTATAACGAACTTACCCTCTATGATATATGGCCTTTTATAAATAAGAAGAGATGCGCTAGAGTTTGTTTTTTGATAAGAGATGCGTATACTTATGTTTTGTAGCAATGCAGGTATCATGTACAGTGCCTCCAGCTCAGAGACGATGATTTATGGCATTTCGCAAAATATCACAAATGCCACAAAATTTTGTGATAATCACAAAATTTCCTATTGTCACCACATAATTTCACAAAAAT